ATTTGATTTATCTCAGACTCAGATAAATAGCCTAGCCTAGTTTGAAGATTGCTATTTGAAAATTTAGTGAACTCAAGTTATGAACAATTTGGTAAAAAACTGAAATGGTTATGGAACTTTACATGAACGTTTAATGATAAAGTTTCAACCTTATGTATTATGGTTTTTTGGAAGCGGACCTTACAAATAATGGGTTGTTAAGAACCATTACCGTTCCAAATTCTTGTTTTCTCCATACATTTTCGGAAAGAGAACTATATTAGAACCTTTTAACTTATGGTTTGAGAACTTTAATGGTAATGGTTATGGTAGTCAGTAAGGTCCACGAATAGTTTTGTAACATCGATCAACTTTATGTGGAATATATCGCGAATTGGTTGCCTGTAATTTACTGATTACCAATTCACGATATATTCCACGTAAAGTTGAGCGATAATACAAAACCATTAATGGACCTTACTGACTACCATAACCATTACCATTAATGTTCTCAAATCATAAGTAAAAACGTTCTTATATAGTTCTCTTTCTGAAAATGTATGGAGAAAACAAGAATTTGGAATGGTAATGGTTCTTAACAACCCATTATTTGTAAGGTCCAGTTCCAAAAAACCATAATACATAAGGTTGAAACTTTATCATTAAACGTTCATGTAAAGTTCCATAACCATTTCAGTTAAAGTTTAGCAGGGATTATAAAGAATTTTTAACCATTTTAGGTAAGGTCAATTTAGGCCGTTCGCAATGCTGTTGTATTTTATAAGGACTGTTTCAATTTGAAACTAGAACAGAAACGCACCTCTCGCAATGCTGAGTTGCAGTTTCATTATTCGAGCACTATTTTGCACCAGATATGCAACTGCTCGACTATTCTGTTTTATTTCTGAGCGAGTTTGAAACACGAATGGAACTCTGTTTCAAATTTCTTTGGATGTGTTGAAGATGTTTCGAAGAGCTCCACAAAAAAACGGAGAACTTCATAGAGAACAGTAAAGTTTATGGAACTTGATGATTACAAACATGTTTTAGAACTGTGCGTTGCGCTGATCGTGTTGCAGTTTTATTTTTGACAGTTTCAAATTATAGAATTGACGAGTAGTTTGAAACAATTTTGAAATTCAGCATTGCGAACGGCCTTATGGTTCGCGTTTATGCGGGTAACCACTTCATTCGAGCAGTTGAAATGACGTTTACTACCACTCGAACTTTGAAATAAAACATTATTTTGAGATGTTTTCTTCTAGAACCACGAGAAAAGTAGCCATCATTTGTGCGTTTCATAAAAAAATAGAAATTAGTTGGTTCAGTTTGGTGGAATCTCTGGTAGAAAGTCACGCCAAAACTGCTTGACAAAGTGGTCAATTAAAAGAATATCACTTGGAATTAAAAAAAAAACTTCTTTATGAAAAGCACCATAGTTTGATATTTTCTCACGCTATTGAACACCATGCAGTCACTGCAACATCTATTACATGAGTGGAGTGTCTAAATATTATGCACCCAGCCTAACGTTTGCAGTCATTCCCGTAAATTTCTAAGCCACGTCTCCCCCGATTGAAAAGAGCTTCTCCCGTCATAACACGGTGCACTACTCGATTGTGCTATTGGCGTTGACGGCGACTATGTAGCTCTTTACTCCAATGGTAAAATCCATAAGCAAACGTCAGACTGTGCGTGAAACATGGCGGACTTTGTACTCCACACTGAAACAAATCGACATGTACCGTTTATTGGATCCATCTTATAACATAGCAATGTCAGCATATTTATTCATTCTATGTGATGATTGATAGATTCCATTGGATTATCACTTAAAAACTATGACTGCGATATGGAATGATTTCTACCGTAATTTCACATACTTAGTACTTGATAATACTTTGCTTCGAACGTGGTTAGCGAAGGTAAGAAGTATATGAATATTGTCTGATATATTACATGGTGAAAACTGTTGATATGTCATGGGTGGGAACAGACATCTAGAAACTAATGGAAAATCATATAAGTTTGCACTATGAGAAAATTCAGTAAAATATACCTGTTTTCATGATGAATATTGCTCACTAAAATATATATCTTATAAGATAATCATGTATATTTTATTGGAGTTGCTTTTACTGATTTTTGACGTTTGTTGATATGTCGCGTGTAAATAGACATGTAGAAACTATTGGACTGTCATTTAACTTTGCAGTATAGGAAAACATGTATATCTCATTGTAATAGCTTGCTTTGATTTTTGACGTTTAAAAATTGTAAACAGATCTATCCCAATCATTAAATAGTCATATAGAAATGCCTTTTAAGAAATCCAACAGCAAGCATTTGTTTTTGCATGTTTTTCTGGGATGAATATCGCTCACAATAAAATACATCTTACATGATTGTTCTTTATAAATTATTGAAACAATTTTCAACGATGTTAACGTACACTCATTCATATGATAATTGGTTCCAGAAAAGAATGTATTGAGATTGAAAAAAAAAATGATTCTACTGTAATATTTACTTTGCTATGATTCTAATTGTAAGCCTTCTACACGGCTAATTCAGATTCCAGCCCTAAGTAGTACTCGAACTTCATGAGCCAGTTCTATCAAATCATATAATTTAGTCGTTGATTTATTGCACACAGGTGCATTAAGAAAGATTTGAACAAACCACACCACCGAAACGGAACATAAATTTGTCAGTGCTATTTGTCTTCACTCTAGCAAAACGAGCATAAAGTTGCACTACATTCCATGTCGGGAGAGCTGTTCTTACTTCATGCTATTTGAACGAGCTCAATCTTGAAGTCAGCCGTGGCCCAGTGGAATCGAGCACAGACACCGAAAGCATCACACCTCAACAGATCTTGATCGAATCCCAAATCAGCTACAATAAAAAAAAAAGGCACAACTGTGAAAGCTCCCACTGCCTGATGTTTATTTTTCGAATTTATTTTTAGAAATCGATTAAATATATGTGTCAAAAAAGAAGTAAATTTCATGTTATTTTCACATAAACTTTACTTCGATTGATTTATGACACATATATTATATTGTGGTGAAAAGTATAGCTTATGCTTATGGGTTTCAAATCCATTTCAGTTAATTATTATAATTTAATCGATTTTCATTTATCATATGACGATCATATAAAAGTTACCAAATTATCTGCATTGTAAATGTATCAGATATTCATATAGAATTTACCTGACACATTTTCAATCATATCATTTTCAATGGATTATCTTATAGCGCAAATTTATAAGATTTCCACATAACAGGAATATGTCAAATTCGTTCAGTGCACTCCACTGAAAATTCCCATAAAGTGGACCCTACACGATTACTTTTATTGTCAATAATCGTATTGTCAATACATTTTATATTGACGTTAAAACTGCTTGGCAATATTTCTGTATTCACATCATCAATATTATTGTCAACAATTCGCCTTCACGTCAATATATTAATACATGTGGGGTTCGGTTAAGAAACTGTCAATCTTTGCTAGAAGCGACGATTTTTCGGCGGTGCCGTTAACGCCAATACGCAATACCTATCTGGATCAATAATAGAAAAGGGCCCATCACCATTTGTAAACAAACGGTTCCAAAGCCTATTCCACACAAATCGAAGGCCGCTCACACAAACCAACACCATCATCGTGTAGGTAGAAGTTTCTCCTATCCAATGATGGTGTTGGTTTGCGTGGGTAGCCTTCGCTTTGTGAGTGAAAGGCTTTGGAACGGTTTGTTTACAAATGCTGATGGGCCCTTTTCTATTGTTGATTTAGCTATGTGTAATCTAGAAATACTCAGAGGGAGAGATGGGCGGAGAAAACAAAATACAATTCGGCAACAGGCATAGGCGTAGCCAGATAGGGGCAGGGGGGGGGGGCGACTGCCCCCCCCCTAAACTCGGCAACATAAAGGCTTTCGAGGAAATGGCGTTCGGTGAAATGGCATTCGGCCAAATTTTCCATGGTAATTTTTTTTTCGCCCCTCCCTAGCTCGAAACCTGGCTACGCCCTTGGCAGCAGGGGTTTGTATCTAAATTATCTTGCAACCCTTGCTAAAACTTAGCATTTCACATGACTTTTACTTTTGATTCGATTTACGTGTAAATTAATAATTGATTGCATCGCAATATTTTACTCAATTAATCAATAGAGCTAGAATATTGCTTTTGATTCCAAAAACTAGTTGAATTTGAGAAGCACACGAAACAGTATTCTAGTATTTCTAGTGCAATCCAACTACCCTCACTTAGGTATGTAATCTCTCTCTCCTATGCCTCTTTCTCCTTCCAAATATAAGAGACGCAGTCCCATATTTGAGAGTAGCACCAGTATTTTTTGCACCACTCTGAGTTTTTAGCCGATCCCTGGCGTCAACCCATTTAAAGTGTAGAGATGAACTAGCCTTCGGCTAAAAATCTATATAACTGTCAATGGATCATATCATTCGAGCAGTTTAATATTACCTTTCATACCAATCGAACTTTGCAACAATTTTTCTTCTAGAACTTCGAGAATATGGGGTCTTATATAAATGTTTCTAGGTTCTTGAAGTAACAGGTTTAAAATAGTATTCCACGGCAAAGTTCGAGTGGTAGGAAACGTCATTTTAAACTGCCGATATGTTCCATTGACAGTAGGTTAATTGGTTGAAGTAAAATCAAAGCGTTACTTAGCTTGAAAAATCGGGAAATTATCACTTCACTTTATTAAAATCTCTGGTAGCGATTTTAAGACAGTGACGTGATAAACACGATACAACCGAGCAACCGGATTGTAGTGTGTATGGGGCACATGAGAAAGCTTCAGATTGACATCTGTGAAAGTACTCAGTAGTGTAAATTTGGGTCAAAATACTCGAAAGAATGAAATAAGTTTAGAAAAATATTAACATTCCCAGAAAGAAATATTGGAAAACTGTGTTCTAACAATTTCTTCTAAAAAAAAAAAAAGATTATTTTGTCACTTATCGTTTTTCAAATATTATATTTAATCGTAATGTGTCTCGATTACTCGCGGAAAATCGGTTGCTGTCTCTATGTTTACAATTATTACTGTTCTGTTAAGTATTTACAAACGGGTTGTGTCGCATATTGCTACCATCTTAAGCTGCACTAGTGTAAATTAATGCGTCGCGCCGATGTCGGCATTCTCTTATCACATGATCTTAAACTAAAACTCCAAGGCTAAAACAATACTGACGATGGACATGATTTTTTTAAACTAAAATCTTACAACACTGTGATGGTGGAACGTTCCAATCGTAAAAATACTCTTTCGGCCGCTGTGTGTCCTGCGTTTGTTGTTCTTCATGGCTGCATAGCTGACCGTTGTAGATTTCCCTCATCTGTTGTGCCGTGCGTTTGTGTAGAACAAGATGGTAATCCTGACACTTTCTCGGTAGCCACGCCGTATCAAAGCGGACATCGTGACGCCTGTGAATGGTTGCGAATGGAGCTAGCCACGTTCCCATTGCCATGTCCTCACTTTTGTAGGCATTTAGTGAAGAACCGTACGCAGCGATGAAAGAGATAAGGTTTTTAGATAAAACATATCCCCCTCCCAGCGCATAGGGAAGATAACGATCGCACAGTTTGTAGTTGGATTCCTTCCACTGTCCACGCTGTTGAATTGTGGATCCACCCTTGAAGTAGCCCCAGTACAACTCGATTGGATTGTGATGAATCATTTGTACTTTATGGAGCTTTTCATAGTAGCTAAGTAAATCTTCCGATAAGAGGTCCAACTTCAAATAACTGTCGTCGTCCAGTTTCATTAAATATTTGAAGTCATACACCGCGTCGATATGACTCATACTTCTAATGATTTTAGTGGTCAAATTCGCATACGAATCCTGCAGATCTTCTAACTCCAACACATCATTGTACACTCGCTGCTCTTCATAGATGACTTTTCGTTCGCTCCTAGAAAGACCGTATGTTCCAATAGCGAACAACGTTTTCACTTTGAAGTTGATAACTTTGATATTTTTGATTTTTTTCTGCCGCCACCTTTGATAGGCCTCTAGCAGTTCCCGTTGCTGTTGAGTCGTCTCCAGTTGCAGTTGTTCCCGGTCGTCGTGCAGTGGCACATAAATAACTTCATCCTGGTAGCTTTCGTTCAACATTCTGGGTCTCAGGTTCAAATACGTCTCTCTTATCGCATTTCGGCGTTCGATGTTACCCGGTGCAGTCACAACCAGCAGCATTAGAAAGTAGGAATTTTCCGGCTCGTATAATCTTCCGGTGGTTTCGCAAGTTTGTCGTGTTCCACCGATCAGTATGGTTAGAAACACTCCAGCCAGAAAAGAACAAAAGATAGGCAGCATTCCTACACAGTTTCGTTTGTACAGATGTTGGTACCGCCCAATAGCCATTTTTGTTGGTTTCCGTCGAAGCTTGCTGGCACTGTTGCTTCTTGGGCGATTCGTTGATTGTATAACGCCAATTTTGAAGTGAAATTTATTGCCTACAATGAACACTTGACGTATAAAAGTTAATGTTTGATTCAGAGTTGTCACATTTAGCTTATTTGTTTTATCGTAAAACTTACATTTTGTGACAAACCCGAAAGAACCAAAATGCAGCAATGTTTTGATTTTTGACACTTCTGCATTATGATGAACACTCAAAATGCATTATATGCACTTTTTTGTATGCTGATCGAGGGGCGCGCATAACTGTAATCGAGAATTGGGTTCTTTAATTAATCATTTTGTTCGACCATTTTCCACAGAGATGGCGCTGTTCCGCTGGTAGGAAGTGATAAAAATCCCCATATAAAAATTGAGAGAAGTGGGAATAATTCGCTTTCGGTGCATATTCAGGTCAAAAAAAGTGAACGACAACCTAAAGAAATTAGTCAGGGGCTTTGTCGTTCAGTTTTTCCCCGGGAATTAATGCTAAACAAGCTACAATTAAATAAAAATGATTTTTCCCCATACAATTTTACCTGCTTTAGTACCAGTCCCCAGAGAGCCAAAAAATTTCAAATTTGAGAGAGAAATTCTCTCTCACAAGCTCAATCTCTCAACATGCCATGTATTTTGTTGATACTCGATTTGTGATTTCCCTTTCACAGATTACAAAATAGAGTACCTGACACTACAAAACATGTCTGGTACCTCTATATATGCATTTGCTTTAACATTTGAAGTCCCTCCTTTTTTACATATTCTGCGCAAAAGATACTTTATGCCCCGCCCCATACATAAAATTCGGCGGGAAATTCTGTAAGGGGTGAGCTATTTTGTGTGCAGAATGTGTAAAAAAGGAGGGACTTCGAATAATAATCTAAATGCATATATAGAGGTACCAGACATGTTTTGCACAGATTGTGTCTAGTTTCCGATAGATGTCACCGCAAACAACAGCAGTGACATCTGATGGAACATGAATGCAGAAGCTTGACAAAATGATTAATTTTGAAAAATATATCGGTTTTTGTATATCATCACCCAATTGGGTTCTTTAAGGGTATTGAGGTAAATGCATATTCGTAATCTGCATTAAAAATGGAACCCAAACCCAAAATGTCATCAATTTCGGCACACTGGAACTATTTTAAATAAATACGATTACTTTTGCAAAAATCACCTAATTAGCGCCCCTCGGTATCACTTTGTATAGGAGCGAGCTGTCAGTTTGTCAGTTTAGTGTCAAACAGTGAAGTTATTATTTTGCTTTAAATCATGATTTAAAAATAGAGATAAAAGTGCGTGGGGTGCTCAGAAAACGAAGCTCTTTCAGACGATATACAAAAACCGATATATTTTTCAAAATTAAAGAACCCACCTATTTTGGTATATTCTACCCAGATTTGGGTAGTTTTGAAATAGCGTGTAACGCTACCAAAATTATAATAATTACACAGCTTATAACAAATCGTAAACAACATATGGGCCCCTCGTTAATTGTCAAAGACGTCAAAGACAATGTTTTTTTTTTGCAACGCTTTGATGGTAAAGCCCTACTGTATAGGGCTTTAGTTGATGGTTGGTACACAAAAATATAATTCGAAAACAAATTATTGATAATATTTTTTAATTGATATTGATATTCAGTATCTCCGGAAAATGAACCACTGTTGTGTGATATCGTGCTTGAATAAAAGAAATGATAAAAGGCACAAATTCTTCGCCTTCCCTTCAGATTTGGATGTGTAAGTATAACAGCACAGAACACTCTCATCTGTAGTAACCATAGTTTGATCATTATCAATTCAAAAAATAGTCTAAGCAAATATATAGTATATTTGCTATAAGGTATTACAATATGCATCAGATTATAAAGACTACCGTGAGAGGGTTGCACTTAAATGTTTATCAAAGAATACAAATAACTCATTTCAATATCATTCAGGTGTACACAATGGGTAGACTTTTGCCACTGTCCTGAGATTTCAGAGCGACTTACTTCCGGTGGACCGTACGGTTTGCGTAAGTTTACTATCTGCTCGGAACATTTTGAACCATCGGCAGTGAAAGCCGTTGACTGGAATGGTCAACTACCTGTAAATACGGTACCTGTTAGAATTGGGAAAACACACATGACTCAGGACATGCTTCTCGAAAAAGGTTTTACCCTTGAGCCACAAACAGATAATGAAGCACATTCAATTGATCAGGTTTTAGTTGAAATGCTCAGTCCAGAAGAAATGGATAACGAACCTGAAGATGAATCAAACTTTGAGTTCGTAGGAGTCAAGCGCATAAAGATGGAACAACTAGAGCTACAATTTGAGGATGAAATAAAGCAGGAACCTGTTGAACAAGAGCAACCGCAGACTGCTGTGGAGGAACGAGCAACAAAAGAAGAGTGTTCTGCAGCTCCAGTAACGCAAAAGCAGGAACCTTGCGTGTATTGTGTAAATTTCAAGCCCCGCTACGAATACGAACTAAAGAAAAATAAGCGACTTGAAGAAGTTATTGCTCAAAACAAGAAAAAGATTGCTAATGAGACTACCAAAATGCAGAAATTGCATGATCGATTCACATTGAAAAAATTGAAGCGTAATGAGCTGAGGAAGAAATTCTCTGAGCTCAGGAAACGATGCAAGAAGGGAATCCCACTCGACACGATTACGGAACCGGTAACAGAAAGCGATGACGACGATGATGAGGCCGGGGCATGGTGGTAAACATTCCAAAATACTTTGTACGTGGATGAATAAGTTATATTTTTGTTGTTTATATCTCAGCTTAGCTTATAAATAAAATGGAATCGAACTGTGTGGTTTCAACAACAAAAAAACACCCTAATCTTCTCCGGAATCATCATCCGAGCTTAGTTCTATTACCGTGTGATATTCCTCCGCTAGCGCTATAATTTTCGCCTTAATTTTTCGAATACTTTCATTAATTCTTCTGACCGACCGAGTCTTTCGACGGACAGGCTGTTTGACTGCTCGAAGTTTGCTTGCGGTGGCTTTAATTTCCTGAACCAAACCGACCGCGCGGGTTCGCTCTTCGAAAAACTTCGTTCGATACTCGAACTCTTTCGTACACTGACAAGCGAACACGTGCGGATCGATGGTTGGCTGAGCGTTGGGTTGAGTGGCCGTTTCCACATCAGTGGATATTATAGGTTCTGCGGGTGCTATCGCATTTTCCAGTTCCTCGTAGAGTACTTCAACGGGCATTTCTTCTTCACACGGTTCGGGACTACGACGATGTTGGGCGTCAAGGTCAAAGAAATCCGGGATTTGATTCGCCTTTTTAAAATTCGACACTAGTACCGGATGGCCTGCAATGATTGTCGGAATGCTTCCTTTGTAAATTCTAAAGGAAACATATTATAGGATGAATGTCACAATGCCAACATCAATTTATTTTTATAACTTACCCTTGTGATGTGTTGTTTGGATTAACGAAGCACCGTTTTTCGAAATGATCTGCACAAACGGAGAAGGAGGAGTTTCGTAGTTTGTAGACCCCTTCAAGAACGAGCATATCGTTAATCTTGTCCGATTTGCAAAACTCTACCCATTTTTCACAACTGCAATAAACTTATTTTAGTGTTGCACCAGGAAATTAACTGCATGTACTTACATAGGTGCATCAGTTGGAAATTTGTACATAGATTTTCTAGACCGACTGGTGCTATTCGCACAAGAAAACACTGCACAACATTTGTACATTTTGCATTGGACTTTGTTCAACTACCTATTTATAAAGAGAAAAAAAAAGTTTAAGGCTAAGATTTAACAAATAATTCTAAATTAGATTTTTTTTTCAGATTATTCAACTCGACGACATTGTTTTTGTTTATTTCGTTAGACTGTTCAACCTGTTTGAGAACGAGAACACTTTTTAAGACATCTGGACGGGTTTGTAAAAACATCGCTTCGTGCTTACGATACACGGTAACCGCAAAATACTCAATATTGACTGTAAAGTATGCATTTTGAGCGAAACCGGGTACCGATAAAATGAGTAAACATTTTATTGATTTTCGAGTAACTGTTACTCAAAAATGAACAACTTTTACTCATTTCAGCTAAAGCTATTGTTAACAAAAGCAATTGCGCCACTTTGAAATGTTAGCACTGATTTATTGGGTAGTACAACACGCTAAGCACAGATAACCCAAATGTAGGTTTACCCAAATTGAAGTAAATTGGATAGATTCGGTAAATTTAAGTAAAATTCAGTTAAATTAGCGCATATATGGATCATATTTATCCATATTTGGGTTAGAACTTTACCCACACGGTGTTTCGTGAAAACCCATTAATGGGTAAAAAATACCCATTTTCAAACCATGTATGCAGCTGTCAAAAAATGGGGGAATTTTGAAATCATAAAATGGGTGAAAAAATACCCATTTGAAGAATCAGTTCACGGTTGAATAATGGGTATATTTTTTACCCATTAATGGGTGAAAAAACACTTCGAAATTTTATCGTCTCATTTCCGTCACTGGCTCATTGGGAATGCAAACCTCGACCCGCATAAACGTGAACCATAAATTGACCTTACCTAAAATGGTTAAAAATTGTTTATAATCCCTGCTAAACTTTAACTGAAATGGTTATGGAACTTTACATGAACGTTTAATGATAAAGTTTCAACCTTATGTATTATGGTTTTTTTGGAACTGGACCTTACAAATAATGGGTTATTAAGAACCATTACCATTCCAAATTCTTGTTTTCTCCATACATTTTCAGAAAGAGAACTATATAAGAACGTTTTTACTTATGATTTGAGAACATTAATGGTAATGGTTATGGTAGTCAGTAAGGTCCATTAATGGTTTTGTATTATCGCTCAACTTTACGTGGAATATATCGTGAATTGGTAATCAGTAAATTACAGGCAACCAATTCGCGATATATTCCACATAAAGTTGATCGATGTTACAAAACCATTCGTGGACCTTACTGACTACCATAACCATTACCATTAAAGTTCTCAAACCATAAGTTAAAAGGTTCTAATATAGTTCTCTTTCCGAAAATGTATGGAGAAAACAAGAATTTGGAACGGTAATGGTTACCAATGGGTTTTCGCGAAACACCGTGCATTTACGAGATTTTCACGTCAGGTTGTATTGGTGTGATACACGGTGTTTCGTGAAAACCCATTAATTTGTAAAAAAATACCCATTTTCAAACCATGTATGCAGCTGTCAAAAAATGGGGGAATTTTGAAATCATAAAATGGGTGAAAAAATACCCATTTAAAGAATCAGTTCACGGTTGAATAATGGGTATATTTTTTACCCATTAATGGGTGAAAAAACACTTCGAAATTTTATCGTCTCATTTCCGTCATTGGGAATGCAAACCACGATGCAAACAGTTACTGTCCGCAGCAACGATCTCCGGAAAATATTAGAATCCAAAACGTTGGAGAGGCTTACGGATAAGTCAATACAATGGATAATTTGTATTATAATGTTTCGTGAAAAATTTGAGCGGAAAACCTGCATTTATTTTCAATGTTTTAAAAACATTTTTACATCAACGAGCGCTTGCATCCTCCATTTGTAAAAATGAGTATTTTTTCACCCATTTTACGGTAAACACAATATAAGAAAATGGGTGAAAAAACACCCATTTATTGACAGACCACCCATTTACCCATTTATGAGTAAACCATAGTTTACCCATTAAATGAGGAGGGGCACTTTTAGCGGAAATGGGTATTTTTATACCCATTAATGGGTTTTTGCGAAACACCGTGTATATGAAAGCGTGTTAGTGAAAATCCGAAGAAAATACATATCTCGCGTCACTTTTCAAATAGACCAATGTAACAAATCCACCATTTTGATAAAATCGAAGTTGAAGTTCGACAGATTATTAATTTAACTGTTTAAAAACAATACATTTTGCAATACTATTTTTAATGTAGCCAGTGTATAATTAAGTTGAAAATTCAAAAGAAACGGTAAAATCACAATTTTACTTTGAATTTCATGCTACAACATAGAAAAAACCACATAGGACGTTTTGACAAGTAGAGTTGTACATCGGACATGTTACATTGGACGATTTTTCTCAGTGACATAATCAATGAGTGTTACATTGGAAGTTTTGTCTACATGATACTAGATTCCCTGTAACAGATTTCAGAGTATAGTACCTAACTTTAGATTGGCCACGCCTTTGAAAAATGAGCACCAATCATGTTAGGCAGTCCGAATGACCGCCCGCATAAACGCGAACCATCACATGACCTTACCGATAATGGTTATAAATTGTTTATAATCCCTACTAAACTTCAACTGAAATGGTTATGGAACTTTACATGAACGTTTGTGTGATAAAGTTTTAACCTTATGTATTATGGTTTTTTGGAAGCGGACCTTACAAATAATGGGTTGTTAAGAACCATTACCATTCCAAATTCTTGTTTTCTCCATACATTTTCGGAAAGAGAACTATATTAGAACGTTTTTACTTATGGTTTGAGAATATTAACTGTTATGGTTATGATAGTCAGTAAGGTCCATTAATGGTTTTGTATTATCACTCAACTTTACGTGAAATATATCGTGAATTGGTAAGCAGTAATTTACCGGCAACCAATTCGCGATATATTCCACATAAAGTTGATCGATGTTACAAAACCATTCATGGACCTTACTGGCTACCATAACCATTACCATTAATGTTCTCAAACCATAAGTTAAAAGGTTTTAGTATAGTTTTCTTTCCGAAAATGTATGGAGAAAACAAGAATTTTGAATGGTAATGGTTCTTAACAACCCATTATTTCAAGAGCAAATTTTCATTATGTCGTAAGTAACATTCGCACCAATCCGAGAAAAATAAAGTTTTGTTTTGATGACCGAAAAGTTATTCCTATTTCCAAGTAAACACATATAATCTCATAGTGATAGCAATGTTTAACATATTTAGCAGGGTTTTAATCATACAAATGCAAATCGCTAGCTTTCATGCTAAAAAATACTGGTTTTTGAGTCAAAAGTTATTATACGTCGTTTGGTGGCCCCTATTGTTACTTAAGTCAAAGTGTATTTACCAGGATATTCGGGAGAATTATCAATTACGTCTCCTTACGTGCAGCCTATTCATCATTTTAGGACCACCGAAATCATCTTAACAACAAACAGTTCGATTTATTCACTTTAATAGTGAGAAAGCGAAACGACGAACGTACACTTTTCACGGGTTTCTCAGCGCTGTTACTTAAGTCAAACGGCATCTCCATAGAAATTGGGTGACTTAAGTAACATCGAAAACTATTTTGATCGGAAGGTGATTACGTCAAAAAGCAATTTGGCTGGCAAATAAATTTAAAAATGGGATTTGATCCTATATTCGGACAGTATATAGTGTAATAGCAGGAGAATCGATTGACACTGATAGCTCGACTTTGTTTACCTTTGTTACATTCGACGTAATGAAAATTTGCTCTTGATTTGTAAGGTCCACTTCCAAAAAATTATAATAGTTAAGGTTAAAACTTTATCATTAAACGTTCATGTAAACTTCCATAACCATTTCAGTTGAAGTTTAGCAGGAATTATAAACAATTTTAACCATTTTAGGTAAGGTTTATGTTATGGTTCGCGCTTATGCGGGCGAAGTAACAATCATGTACCCATCATTTCAAACTGTACATTGGACAATTTTTTACCTATGATTATCTTAAATAAATGAAAGTGAATTTGGATGGATGTTTTTGTATGACATACAATGATAGAAGAGCAACAGTTTGTATCGCTTAACTCGGTTTGTTTACATTTGTTACATTGGTCGATTTGAAAGGTGACGCGAGATATAGACCTTTTTGACGTTTAACCATCTTTCTCTATCTTGCACACATGGATGAATGGACGGTTTGTTTTCCCACTAATCTGTTTCTCTCTTGCTCGCACTCGTTCGCTTTAAATGGTACAGTAGTGTGCGCCGACTAAACGTCAAAAAGCTCTATTGTCGCGCTTATGTTAAATTCTCATTTGGTGACGGTCGAACCGCGCCGCTCATAAGCGCGATGCAACCCCGCCCATAAAGCTGGGTTTAGATAGGGCAAGTCAATTGAGAAATCCAACTTAAACTCATGCGCGCCTGGTGGCAGGAATAAGCACTAACCGACGGTGATAAGTCTGTGACAGCCCTTGAAAATTTCATTGATTGTTTTCAAAATTGATTAATTTCAATGTAATTTCATGCAAATTTCTTTTTAGAATGGATTAATCTTGTACAAAATGCATAAAACTATTTTGTAATGCATTGTCCCTAAATAAAAAGCTACTATAAGACTTATAAATTACAGAAAACATGTTAAGGTTTGAAATCATCTGCCGATTAAACAGAAGACGAAGTCGGCCGACTAAATCCATCGACGAGAAACTATTAAATAGGCCGATTGCTCGGTGTATCATCAAACGAAAAACGATTTAATCTGCTGATTAATACACCAACTAAAATTAATTACAAGTGGCAATAGATTTAGTCGGTTCGGGTGATTTTTGATGATGTTTGTTTATTTGGAAGATATTTTCGAAACAAAGCACGATAAAATTCAGCATTATATACCATTATTACGAGTACTACTTTTTTGCTCGGATCATGTTTTGACTTCCACAGAAACTCGCTAGAATAAATAGAAAATAATAGTTTTTTGGATGAAATTTCAAAAATGTATTCAGTTTGACACATTATTTCGGACTATCACCGCTACGATTGCAGCGTCACGATGGTCGATTGAAACTTGGATTTGTCAATTGATCAAGTCAGTTGAATTCAACTGACTTGAACGTGAATTGAACGTGTAAACCATGCCATGTGACTTGATCAACTCACTTGAATTGAAAAAAGTTGAACCAGGCTCAACTTTTCAAGTCAATTGAATTCAATTGAGTTGATCATTTGACTTGCCTAGTCTAAACCCAGCATAACGGTTATACCAAAGACATCATATCATATTGATTTGTTGTCTTCGGTTATACTTTAATATTATTTTGCACGTACATCGAATCGAAATGTAAAGTCATGTGGAACGCTACCTTGTTGCAAGATATTTGGAACACAAAACCCAAATTGTAATTTGTTTTCTCCGCCCATTTGTTCTCTCCCTCTGAAGATTTCTAGTTTTAATTGAAAATGTCTTATTGGAATTTCATTTTCTAACTCAAATTTTCCGGGAAAATTTACCAAGTTCAATATCCAAAAATACTGCTGTCGTAGTGATGAGCCATTTATGGACAAGATTGGATTTTACAAGGCAAACCAGCCACGACAACGGATCTCTAGATTCTATCAACCTTGCCCTTAACCTCGTGATCTCGACTCAATCGAATTCCGTTTTATGCATGATTTGAATGTATATGGAACAACCGCAAAAAATCACCATGAGTTTACAAAAGTTATAAATTTTATTCAATGCGTACAATAGTAATAATACACATCCTAAAATTTTACATCCTTTGCAGAAAGTTTGAACAAGCCATGGAAGTGATAGCGAAACATGGTGGCAAGTACTCACTAGTCACGGTAGCTAGGCTATATCTGGATCATCTGCTCTCGTTGCAGCAGTTTGATGAGGCGGCTAAACTATGCCTGCGTGCCTTCAAAACTGATAAGCAACTGTGGGGGGAAGAGGTTTACAAATTTGCCAAGGTGAAGCAACTTCGTTCCGTCAGCAGCTACATTCCCAAGTCGGCCGAGTGTAAACTGAAACCGCACGTGTACGAAATGGTACTGTATGAGTATCTGCTTTTTGACCCAGACGGTTTCCTGCAGCTCATCAAGGAGTGGCAACCAGGCTTGTACAACACCAAAGCTGTTATCAATGCGATAAATGGTAATTTCAACATAGAGGATGCAAATATTTTACTGGAAGCTCTAGCGATATTGTATTCCCACGATAAGGAGTACGATAAAGCTTTAACCATGTATTTGAAGTAAGTAAATCGTTTGTTCAAGCATTCAACACTTTCTAAAATTCCAATAATTGTTTCGAAAAGGTTACAACACAGAGACGTTTTCGAGCTAATTAAAAACCACAACCTTTACTCGGTAATCAAGGATACAATAGTGCAATTAATCGAATTAGATAGTGAAAAAGCAATTGCCATGCTGCTGGAGAAGGATAAAATTCCGGCGGAGGACGTTGTTAAGGAACTAGAAAATCGCGAAGATTATTTGTATCGGTATCTGGATGCGTACGATAAGATAGATAATTCGGGGAAATTTCATTGGAAGCTAGTCAAACTCTACGCCAAGTATGAACCCAGCAAATTGCTCACGTTCCTAAAACGATCGAACAACTATCCCATACAAGAAGCTTTTGACATTTGCAAACAGCAGTTGTTTTATCCGGAGATGGTATATCTGCTGGGCCGGATGGGAAACACCAGAGATGCGCTATCCATTATCATTCACAAATTGGAGGATATTCAAATGGCAATAGACTTTTGCAAAGAGCACGATGACATGGACCTTTGGAACGATTTGATAAACGAATCCGTTGAGAAGCCATACATCATGACGAAACTGTTGGATGGTATCGCCGGATTCATAAATCCGGAATTGTTGGTGAATAAAATCAAGAAGGGCCAGGAAATTCCAGGGCTGAAAAATTCCATCATAAAAATGCTGTGCGGGTTCAGTCTTCAGGTTTCGATACAGGATGGATGCAATCAGATTCTTGTATCTGACTATTTCAACATGCACGAGAGACTGTCCAAAGTCCAGCAGAGGGCACTAGCAGTTACAGGGGAGAATACGTGTGGTCTATGTAGGAGGGATATTATCGTTAAAGGTGGGCTTGTTTTTTAATGTTAATTTCTTCCACTAAATATATTTTTTTAAATATTACACAGATCACTCGAGAACTGACATCGTGGTGTTCAACTGTCGGCATTTTTTCCACGAGAACTGTTTACCAGATAAATACAACGTAGACTTTTGTACTGTGTGTAAATCTCGAAAGCCGTGAAGATGTGCAAGTGTGGTCAAATGTATGGTTTGTATAAACAATAGGATCGTGTGTTAATTGTAAAATCAAGTAAGGGAACATAGTTTATCTTTTCGCTGTTTTATTATTTTAAAAGTATGCTTATTTATTTTTATACGTAATACTCAAAACAGATGATTGCTAACATTCATTTCGGTAGTTTACTTTTCCGAAATCCAATGTGTGTGTGTTTATAGTCCCCTGCTGGCACTGTGTGGGACTAATTTCGCCTGGGTCCCTGCTGAACCACCTTAACTCAGCTAGCCGGCATTGCTAGTTCGTTGATCGTAACTCCATTTTCGCTTCACTCTGACAATATTTGGGTTACTTCAGAGCCCCTTCATTCTTTGGACTTATATTGGAATTTATAGAAACAGAGAACAGCGCCAAACGGTTTGTGACGAGTCAACGTTGAACCACCGACAAACCGACATGAATGACCATAGCTAAAATAATACAATTTCTGACCAGAGCACACTACTGACATCTGGCTCCGTGTTAGCGGGAAATATTTAGCTAAGCCATGAACCCGCATGCAAAAGTTATGAATTGGTTCGTGTCTGATCTATTCTGTACAAATTATTTTTATCTAGATCAAAAAATCCTATGGTTTTGACAGATCGGATCACTGCACATTTAAATCGGCCGTTTACGATTTTCGGGCATAAGTCAGAATTAAGTGTCATGTCGGTTTGTCGGTGGTTGAACTGCAGCGCTGGAAAAAAACACGCACACTACCATATATGCATGTACGGACCCACATCACTGAGCGGACGGTGCAGCGTAAATCAATCATTCAGCTTCGGCAGCATCCGATGGCGTTTGCATTCGCCGGCGTTGACAAATACCTTCGCATGTTATAAATAGGAAAGTAATTATTAAGCTCAAATGTTGGGAAATCGACAATCACGTGCCCCGAAGTTTCTCCAAGTTACCCTCGAAGCTACCATACACCGGGCAGAGTGGTGACCTTGTGTATCCGAAACGATGCAGGTACTTCATTGCGTCAGGTGGAAATTAAATTTTAATCTTCGGTAAAATTTAAAAAAATCTGTGAAAAATTCAATGTTGAGAAAATGTGTTACGAAAACTTACAGACTAACTTCTGTTAACCCCGTGTAATAATGAAAAATAAAATTTGTCGATTTTATCCAATCTTTACGAATAACAGTCATTTGAATTTTAACCGAGTCAGTAATCCAAAAATCCAGTAAAAATACTGACTCCTGTAAAAAATCTAAGTGGGTATACAGAAGCAGCGGAACTGCACACTTCTGCTTCGAAACAGCACCGCAGCTGAGCTGCGAGTGCTATGAAATAAAAAGGACATCGACTTATTACCACTACCTACTTCTCTCCCTTCCGCTCTCAGAATTCGCCGATTCGATGTATCTCGTTGTGCTTTCTGCTGAGCTGAGACTGAGCAATTCGATACCGCGAAACATCTCCGCAGTTATGTTTTCTTTCGGCGCAGGAGATGTGCGGTAATCGAAAGTTAAGAATGTAGCTCAACATTTACAATAACATTCTACCAAACTTTCATGTGCATAGTCCACTGCAACAGCCGAACGTACGAACGAATAGGGTGACCATAGCGCATTTTAAGAAAACGTCACAAGTTTTTATGGCTGTTTTAAATCAATAATTACGTAGAAACCATAAAGCCTACAAGGTTACTACCAAAGGCACAAATCTAGGGAACTGCATGGAGAATATTTTGTAGAACAACTAAATTAACAGTAATGAAAAAACTTAAAAAAACACTAAAATGTATGAAATTTCACCAGTTTTTTTGGTACTTTCAACATACTTTTCAATTTTAATGTATGATAATTAACTTTAATCGAGTTCTTTTTCAAAGAGCATTCATAGCTAAGACTTTAATATTTCATTTGGTATGTTGAAATCAGAAAACCACATTATGATTAATAAAATATAGCTAACCAAAGTTGGCAATACAAAAAAACATAAAATGTTGAATAACTCACTTAGCAGTCATTTCCGACCCTATGTTTCATGGGGATTTTTTCATAACTTTAGGAGCTCCATCTACCCTGAAAATATGTAAAACCCGGAACCAAACACCCTGTATATTTAATAACCCGTAATAGCATGCGTGGTGGGATTCTCGGCATTTGGAACCCAATGAGGAAAATTGATACCTTTTTGACCTCTATTACACCTACATGGCTGACTGGTTGATGGTTATGAGAAATAAATATTGAATTCATGTATGAAAAGATTTACAAAAATTCCAATAGATCACATACTAGAGTGTGTTTGCCTGTCGTTGATACGCTCATCAACAGCAGCCGTGGAACCAACCAACAACGAAATCAGTACACCCCAGATGGCATGGGATCGAAACTAGAAGTTATGCAGATAAAAAATCACAAATAAAATCAGCAGTTGTGTATCGATATTTTGATTTTACAACAGAAATCGATATTTTGATCTGGCAACACAATCGATATTTTAACATTGGTAACGATTGTTAGCAATATTTTGAGAAAGATCTTTATAAACGATTCACGATTAGACTTTTAGCATCTTTACAATTATTCATGAAATGGTGACGATCGCTATCGATTTTTCTTAAAGAAAATTAACGAAATGGTTGGTCGGGATGTTATAGGGAGCTGCACCATAGAGGTAACTCTAAGACTAGTAGGTCTCGAAGAAACGTGCTCAACTTTTTGGCTCAGCTCTGGTACTATCTTCGGTCCCAAGCTAATCGATTCCCCCCTCGAAACAAAGGAAAATCCACTAACCCCTCATTTTATCTGTTAAACTTTCATAGCGAATCAAAACAGAGTGTAGTACTAGAATTTTGACTAAAATGGGGTACGTTAATCGATTTGCTTGGGAGCAATAGGCTAGTCAAGTAGTGAGCCAATTTAAAATCGTTAGTTTCGTATTGATTGTTGCTGCACCGTCGGGTTAACCTCACTTTTTGACATCTTGCAGTGGTTTGTTTCCATGGACTTAAAAAAAAATAAAAAAATATTAAATGTTTTTTTTCAGATTTTTTGGAAAGGAATATTTTTCAAACGAACATAGTCGGATATCATATCTTTTATTTTTTTCTATTTAAAACCTCAAATCCACTTGAATTGACTAACAAGCAAAGGTAAACAAACCACCACTGGATGTCAAACAGATGTATGCGGGTTCATCGTGTTCAATCGTGACCTCAGCGTGCAGCATCCTAGCTGAGCTTTGAGTGTGTATCTACACGGCGAATGAGAACGACTCAAATTTGAGTTTAGTTCACTCATAATCGCCAAAAGTGCAGGAACGCAGCGATGAGTAAAATTTGTCCCATGGTTTCCTGTGGAAAACCTAAAAAATCTGCCGGAAAATGAGGAAATTGACGAAAATTTTATTCAGTCTAGGAATAGTACCAATAGACTGAGTGAATCCAATCTTTACTTTTCTCAAATTCGGGAATTTTCCCCTGGAAAAACCTGGGAAAACATGAGGCAAATTAACTCATCGCTGAGTTCCTGCACTTTTGGCGATTATGAGTGAACTAAACTCAAATTTGAGTCGTTCTCATTCGCCGTGTAGATGTATGTCCTTTAAATTCCGTTATAATTGCTTATCTTTTGACAGATACGCGTATTTCATCTACTACTTGCAGACATCAGTGCAAAGTACTTAACACCACACCACACCATACTTCCCAAGTAACAATTTTGGTTTTATGAGGGTTCTGTAGACCATGATTTGGACTTATAGCATGCATTAAAACCACTATAAAACTTGCAATGTTACTTGGGTTGGCACTGATGATGTCTGCAAGTAGTAGACGAAATACGCGTATCTGTCGAAAGATAAGCAATTATAACGGAATTTAAAGGAAATAAACCAACCCACTCAAAGCTCTTCATAAAGGGATTCCGTTAAGAGGTGCGACAAATTTAAAGGATCCTATAGCTATAAACCACCTATACTAGTTACTTAGACTGAAACCAAAATCTACCTATCGAACTGTCAAACCGTCTACCTATCGATCATAGTACATTCATAAAATTCGACACATTTTTATAGGTGAATTTCCATGTAAAATTCCACATGATTTTCATGCGTCCACACATAAACAGAACCCACTCAGAAATACACATGAAATATGTGAGTCAAATGAATAGTATGTGTGGTTATACATGGATTTTATGTGTACACATGAGAACTATGTGTCCGACACATATATATCATTTGTATATCATATTGCAAAAATTCATGTGTGGGACACATACAAATATTCATTGAATTTTTATTAGTGTAGAGAAACTGACTCAGTTGCGTGGGAAGTATTGTTTGCACAAATCAGGATATCAGAGGAAACTCTTGTATTAGGAGAATGTGAAACGCGTCATCACCGGTCAACGAAGACAAGGAGTACTCAGACCCTCAGACAGTTGAATATACAGTTTTTTTTCCTTTGGTTTGTTTTTTTCCGTCGATCTTGTTTTCCGTGCTGAGCACCAATGCTACCGACGTGCCAGGAAGGCAGCTCCCACACCTGGACCCTACCTATCGACCCATCAACTCATGAACCGGGGACCAACGGCTTTACTTCCCATCCGAAGGAAGGCGTGATCAGAGATGTTATGTCTCAGAACATCCCGGCGGCGCTTACTGGGATTGAACCCAGGCCTACTGGGGTGAGAGGTAATCACGCTTACCACTACACCACCGGCGCCGTTAAATATACAGCTTCGCGCGGAAAGTATGCCCGGATTCGGTGTCCAACTTTCGTGATCGTCCATCGTGTAGTAACGACATAGATTCCCCGTTTTCGATGGTAGAATTCTCACTTGCACTCCTCTCATGTAACCGCTCAGCTCCAGGAATGGATAGACTCAAGTTCAGCTTGCTTAAAAATCTCCCAGACTTCGCGAAGAGCTCGGCGAAGAGACGCTTGTTGAACTTATTCAATAAATTTCTGGAGCACGACATTGTTCCAGATGATTGGAGGCAGGTAAGAGTTATCGCCATTCGAAGACCCGGTAAACCCGCGTCGGATTGTAACTCGTACCGTCCTATCGCGATGCTGTCCTGTATACGGAGATTGTTGGAGAAAATGATCCTTTTTCGTCTAGACAAATGGGTCGAGTCGAATGGTCTACTTTCAGATACGCTATT